TTAAGAACACAGTGAAGGGACTCCAGAGACTGACAGAAGTTTGTGGCATGGAGGACAGAGACCAAAAGAGATGGCCCAGTCACACTATGAAGAGAAACTCACCAGCAATATTGGTAATATAGGGAGCAGAAGGAAACGCCATCAAACTAATTACTGGTCTCAGAGAGACAGTGCACAGGTAAGTAAAATGCACAACAAGGAGGAGTACTCGGGAAAGAAAGAAGTCTGGGAAAGTTACAGTAGGAGAACAGAAGCCATCAGCACGGGTGTTGGGACAGAAAGTTGAGAAATTTTGTAGGAAGTGTAATCAGAAAGAAAAGAAAGAAAAAATAAGAAAGAATTATTTGAAGAAGTCCAACACCCAAATAACAAGAGAGACTCTAAAGGAAGAAAAGTATCATAGAAATAATATACAAAATAGACTGAAACCTAAGAGCATAGGTTCTAGATTGAAAAGCCCACTGGAATACCTAGGTCTATGAGTTAAAAAAAAAAAGACACCAGAGAAAAGTGCTTGTAGGCAGAAAAATAAATAAAACTCCCACGATTTTATATATAAGAATAAAAGTCTAACTGACTTGAGATATCTCTGAGAAATACCTGCAGCTAGATGACAGTGAAGTTGTAGCTTTAAAATTCTAATAGTTTTTTTTTTTTTCCAACTGAATAATTCTATCTAGGCAAATTATTAATCAAATGTGCAGGTGGAATAATGGTGTCCGGATATGAGAAGTCTCAGGCATTTTACCTCTCATAAAATAAGTGTTATGCACAGGTTCCTCTGGACTAAAGAGGAACCAAGAAAGAGCAAGCAGGATTATTGCTTTTGAGCCCAGAAAGCCGTGCACTTGAGACCGTCCCTGGCGGAGGACAAAAGGTTCTAGAAGATAGAGCCTCATGAAATGAAAAACAAACAAGGGAAAGTGACAGCGTTTGCCTGCCCTGTAATGAGTTTTATATTTTTGTTGGAAAGCTGAGAATTGAATTAGTGTTACACAGAACATTCCATACACAAATAAGAGGCAATAACGGACTCACAGAATGCTGAGAAAAATCCACATGAAAGGAATTAATGGTCATAAATCCTGAGGCTCAGCTGTGAGCAGTAATTTATCTGGTCATCGTGCTGTAAGTTCTGGTGTCAACATAATAAAAAATGGTGTGAGTATGGTTGGAGAAGTGTCCTGTGGGGTAGTGGTAGGAGAGCTAAGGTCGTATTTTCTCTAGGAGGAAGTCAAAGATGAGATCTAGCATTGAAAAAAACCATGCTGTGCAAGCATGCTATTTGCATATACTCCACAAATACATAACGAGTTGAAGTTTTTGCCTTTAGGCAGCAGAAGTTAAGGACTGGGAGGTGGTGGGGCCTGTTCTCCTGCAAGTCCTGTGGTGCTCCTGGACTTAGGCACGCAGTATGTGCTGCACCAATTAAAAGGGGCCTCAGTGGTTGCCACAGGTCCAGAGTGGAACCGCAAACACGGTGCGTGAGCACCGGCGATGCTGTGGAGGGTGCGTTCACCACAGTTGAGTGGGCGGGCAGGACACTGTTCTCTGGAAGTCTTCCATGTGACCGTGGGAAAAGAGCTTCCCTTTTCTGGTTCTCTGGAAACAAATCTATACTCTGTTTCTCTTTCTGTTGGAAGCCATTTCTTCTTTGGTCTGTCTCCTGTGTTCAGGGTTTGACTCAAATTTAATTTCAGCTCTTGATGGAGATCTCTTGGCCCAGCTTTGTCCTGACGCTGAGGCAACAAGGGCATCTGGGAGGCGTGTATGTGTGTGTGTGTGTGTGTGTGTGTGTGCCTGCATGTAGGTGTGTCTGTGTGTGATTCCAGCTTAGTTATTTCGTAGCTCTGTGCCTGGGCTATTACTAAAGTGCTTGTCACCTCATCTGATGCAGGAGAAGACATTCCTTACCTCAGAGGATTGCATGAGGAAAATATGAATAATTTAGTATCTAAGGACCCAGTACAGAGTCATTGCTAAAATAAACTAAAGTAAAAGATAGAAGGGAACATCTGTAGTTAAGACTTTGTTTGAGACAGGAGCCATGTAGTGCCAAATGCAGGCCCCACAGTGGAAGCTTCAGGAAGGAGCATGAGCCTGGGAGGGAGAGGAGGGGGGAGCAAATCGGGTACAATGCACACAGAGCGCCTCGCTAACTTCTGCTTCCAAACACAATCAGAGCAACTGAATACCTCTTAATAAAGTGGAACAATAGGTCCAGCGCTAAGAAGGGTGTCTTTTGCCCTAAGACTCCTGCATGCCTGGTGCTGGTGGCTCTTTGAAGCTAGGGACCTGGCCTCGCACCTTGCTCCTGCGCCAGGCTGACCCACTGTTGGGCGATGATGTGCCCAGGGTGTGCTGTTGTGACTGAAATTTTGAACTGCTTGGGCTCTTTGGTCTCTGGCGTGCTTTCTGAACCCTGGCTGGGGGCTGTCGGGGAAGCCGTGGCAGCCGCTTGCTTAGCTACTCTTTCTCTGAGCTGTCTGCAGGTGGGGGAAGGAGATCGCCCAGACTCTGCCAGAGCTCCAGGGTGGGGGTCCCGGCACTGGCATGGAGCAGAAAGCAGGTTCAGACCCTCCCACGGGCCAAGCTACTGGTCTCTGCTGAGTAGCCACCTTGGCTGCTGGGCCCGGGGTGGGGGTGGGGGGCAGGAAACCAACTCCACTGTCAAGCCCAGTGACGACTGTGAGACAGGGAGGGAGCAGGGAGCTGGGGACCCAGGAGGCCTGGGGGAGGTGGGAGCTGTGTGAGGACTGTCGGAAGCGGGAGAGTGTGTAGGTGGCTTGGGGACAGTGGGCATGGGGGACACTGCATCCGTTATGCAGAGCAGGGCGACAGGCGTTTGCATGGTCTACTTGATGGAAAAGCTCTAGACCGGAGCAGAATCGCCCAGCTGTAGCTCGAAGCAATCCAGGATAGTCCTATCTGGTAACCAGATCTATCAAAATCTCAGGCCTGAACCCGAGAAACCTCTTCTGGACTGCTCTCTTCTCTGCACAGTGACTCTGGCTCCTGGTGTTTTGTGGACATTAATTATAGACAGCAGCAAAGGGCTTGGGGCCTTGCGCAGCCTTTTCTTTTTCCACTTCACCTGGCCGACGCCTTTGCTCTTTCTGCGCTCTGCCCAGAGCGGCCGGAGGCCTTGGCATTTGCACCTCTTGCATGCACGGCTGCATCAGCTTCCGGTCTCTACTTGTGCCTGCTGGCCTGGGCCTCTCACGGGGCAGCTCGTTTCTGCGTGCATCGCCCCTCCTCTGTCCCCCGGCGGCGTTCTTACTGTATCTTCCCTGCGAGGTCGCACACACGCACCCTTGCCCCCCGCCTCGATGGAAGCACAGCACATGCTAGCATCGTGGCTCTTAGCTTAGACTGGGGTTAGGTAAGAAAAATGAGTGTGAGCATTGAAATCGGACAAGGCGAGTACCTGGAGCTCCACACCCGCTGCCATTGCACGTGTCACCCTGGTGAGCAGCGGTGTGGGCGGGGGAAGGCCTGCGGGACTCGAGGAAGTGGGCACAGTTCTCCATTTCTATGGCCCAGTGCCCCTGGAGATAGCGTGTCGTGGGCTGTTCACAAACCTGAGGACCCAGGAAACTCTCTGATGCAGGAATTTTGATTTCTTTTTTCTTTTTTAAAATCTTTTATTTATTTGGTACAGGTCTCACTACCCAGCTTGGACTTGTAGTGATCCTCCTGTCTCAGCCTCCCCAGCACTGGGATTACAGGTGTGGGCAACCACGCCCGGCCTTGGTGGCCTGCATATATACTGGGGATTGAACTCAGGTCCTTGCGCTTGCCAGGCAGGCGCTTAGACCACCGAGCTATCTCCCCAGACCAGGAATCTGATTTCTATGACTGTGTTTTCAGGAAATAATGACATGTTTTTGCCCCAAAGACCTGGTTTCAAACACTGTTTTCAATTAGTACAGAAAGAGTTGGAGAGGACTTAACTGCCCCATCTTCATGGATTGGGTTTGGTTTGCAGGGCAGCTATGTAGGGGATGGTACCATGTGTGGACTTGGACTAACTCATGCCCAGCCTTTCCACATCTTTATTTAAAAAAAAAATCTAGGCTACAAAAAGCAAAATTAGACTAAATACCCAAGCTGTGTATGTTAGCTTGGGTAGAGCAAGAATGAATAATGTCTGTCCTGCTTTTCACTTAATTATAGTTCCCAAAACATATAGATGGAGCAAAAGTTTCTTTGGCACATTGTTAAAAAACAATGACTTTTAAAGCAAATGCTATCTACTCAAATAATAATGTGTGGATTGAAAATTTAGGTTCAGGGGAAAATGCTTTTGAAGTGAACATGGAGGGCTGGGGAGATAGCTCAGTGGTCTAAACACCTACCTGGCAAACTCAAGGACCCGGGTTCAATCCCCGGAACCATATGTCGTGCCAGCCCCAGGCACCGAGCTGGCCACTGAAATCCAGCATGATGGTGCACGCCTGTAATCTCAGTGCCAGGGAGGCTGAGGCAGGAGGATTGTGCTATGAGTCCAAATAAATAAATGAAGAAGAGATACAATGAACATGGGATTGAACTCACATATGTAGCTGGGTAAACAGCCTTTGGGGTCAAAGGGAGACCCTGAGCCCCTTGGATGAGTTTGTTGATTGAAATCAACGAATCTGCAAGATTTGTGGGATGCAAGGTTTGGGTTGGAGGCACGCACTTCTGCTTTTCTTGCACACTGACGTGGAGCAGCATCAAGGCTTCTTGGTTGCCCTGCAGTTTGCTTTGTCTGATCTGCAGCTCATTCTGAGGTTGTGCAGCCCCAAAGCAGTGGGTGTCGGTGAATGCAGGGCCTGCTTGGGCTCAGCCAGGAGGCCAGCTCCTTCTGAGGGCGAGGGCTGTGCTTGTGAAGGGCGCTCTGAAGCAGTAGAAGTGCCGGGGCCAGGAGGAACAAGGCCGCGCATCCTCCTGCGTGTATTAACGTGGATGCTTCTGCTCTTCAGCTCCAAATTTTGCCCTGTTTCTTTCTCCTGCAGGCATGGGTAGAGCCGACTGCACAGGCACTCTGCAGTGAGCACCCTGGGGAACAGCCACAGAGCCCAGCTGAAATGAACTGGCTCCCCTGAGCCTGTCCCAAGCCCTGCTGCCGGCCTTCACCCCAGCGCTGAGGTAAGTCCCCTTGAATCCCCAGCTGAGGGAAACAGCGAGCAGAGCTCCTCAGTGGTGGTGGGCGGTGGAAACTTCGGGTGAGGCTCTGTGAAGAACCAGTTGTTTATGATTCCATCAGACCATCTGCTTCCCTTCTAGCCCGCTGGGAGGCAAGGTCACTTGGTGGCCAAGCAAGCTTTGATTTGACAGAGCAGGTATTTTTAAATCTGGATGCAGAGTTGTGTGTTTTCAATTGCTGAAAACAATTGAAATTTGAACTCCATAGGCAGTGAGTTTATCCTCCAGGTAAGAGTCCCAGTTCAGGTGCGGGCCCAAGTGCACCTGCTCTGTTCTGCAAGGCCAGTTGAGTTCTTAGCAAATGCGGCTGAATACACACACACACACACACACACACACACACACACACACACGCATGCATGCATACACACATGTAGATGTACACATACCTGTACCCACATGTACCAACCCAAGGGGACAGAAACAAAACATTTTCAGGAAGGTTATTGCAAAACATTCCAGTAAACCTACTAAAATGCTTTTAATTACCTAGATATGTTTTGATTATAAAGGTAATCTGTTCTCCTAGGACATTTGGAAAAATGCCCAGGTGGAAGAAAATAAAATGTTCTGAAATCTTACCTCTTCGGCTTGGATAGTTTTCCTTATGGTTACTCTTAATCTTCTACAGGATTTTGATTTCTTTTTTTCTGGGGGAAGGAGGAGCGGTGCAGCAGAGGCCCCCCAAGGAGGGCCTGGGGGTGGGGTGGGGCCTTGCCTCTAGCCTGGAAAATCTCCAGAGCTGACTTTTAAGTATCCAGGAATTTTGTTAAGAAACCTTTGGCCGCTTAGAATTGACCACCAGGGAAAGGGTATGCTTGGAAATGAACCAGCATCCCAGAGCGGGACTTCTCTGTCTCAGACATTCAGAGCATGCTGGAGCAGCACAGGGGCACACGTGGAGGGGCCTGAGGCCGTCACTCGCCTCTGTGTACCCTGGCTTCCTTACCTGCACACAGCAGGTGGACGGATGAAAGAGAGCGACGCTGTATCCTTATAATCTCCTAAGACAGCCGTGAGAGTCCCACGAAATACAGAAAGTGTCTTGCCTCCGCCAGGCTGCTGGCTCTTACAGGGGCTTAGCTGACCCGGAGACCTTTAGTTGATCAGTGGGGAGCTGTATTCCGCACCCGCTTTTGGCTCTCCCTCCTTGGGAGGTCTGTTAATTGTTGACACCCTTTCTTGAAGGCAGATGAAAACCTTCCATTTACTGACCAGCATCTGGGGTGCATTTCCTTCCTGGAAAAGTCAAGACCTCGGTCAGGGAAGTGTGGAAATGAACCCTCAGCGGTCCTGGACGTGAGAGCCAGGACTGCAATCAGAGCGTTTGCCTCCCAAGCACTGCTGGGCTGGGGCGTGCAAGGGGGAACTTCCTGCCAAATGTGAGCTTCAACAATAGCTTCTTTCTTCAAGGCCCTGCTGTGGAAGCAGATTAGAGCTAATTAAATAAGCATAATGGAGCACCAGGCTCAGCGCCCCTCTTTCTACTTTCTGAGTCTTTTGCTTTCTTTTCCTATTTCCCCAAAGCAAAAGGATGGGAAGAGGATGTGACATCAGTGACCCACCCAGTTTTATCTGTAGAATTGTAGGTGCTGAAAGGAGTGAGAGTGTAGAGAGCTGTGGAGGTCCTCTTGTTCCCTATGCTCCCTTTGGGGAGCCAAGTCACGCAGCAGCTGGTGGTGGTCCAGGCCTGTGCTGCAGAGGGGCTCTGCCGGAGAGGGAGGGAGCCCAGGCCAGGGTCTTTGCCTACCCCTGGCAAGGGGGTGTGCTGGGTAAGCTAGCCCTGCCTCAGCCTCGCCAGGCCAGAGTCCTAGTGCGCTTTAGTGCCTTCTAGTTTTCTTGGAGTTGAGCCTGTTCCTCATCAGGGCCTTAGTTTTTCTCCCAGGGGAGGCATTGTACCAAGATTTTACTCTGAAGAAACTCAGCTGTGTTCATGAGGAAGGGGAGGGAAAGGCAGGACACTGACTGAGTGTGGATGGCCCCGGGCATGTGTTCTGGGCTCCATCCATATTAATCTGTTTTAATTCTGCAACAGTCTGGAAGGGCCCCATTCCCGTTTCATATGTGGCAAGTGAGTCTCAGAGAGGCAGAGACTGACTTAAGAGTTTGCCGCTCCTAAGTGACGGAGATGTCAGTTAGGCCTGGGTTTGACCCCTTCCGCTCCTCAGAGCTAGGGAGTGCCCTCACGGCAAGTAGCCCCTCTTGTAGGAGTTCCAGGTCTGGTTCCAACAGTTAGAGTTCCTCCCCTGAGGGAGCATCATTCTGCCTCTGGAGCCATGTGGACAGCTGTGGTCTACAGTGATTGAAGCTTTGCGAAATGCTGCTCTGTTCTTCCGGATCCTGGGGGCTGTGTTCCCTGTTGTGGATGACAGCATTGGAGCCGAAAGCATCCCCAGAGCCCACTGCAGAGTCCTGTAGTGCATCTGATGTCCCGGCAGCTCGGGTGCAGGGTTTCTGGGCACTGGCGTTCTACTTGGTTACAAGCAGGTAGCCTCTCCCTCTTGGGGCTCTTGGAGCTCTTTGCAGGGGAACACATCAACATAGTTACATTTCCTTTTTCTCCATGGCTGGGGAAAACATTATTCTTCTGGCAAGAAAAACTTAATGCGGTTCTATAGATACTTGCCAAGTACCAACTGTGTGCCCAGCCACACATATCAGACTGTCTGGGTGAGAAATTCTCGCTCAGACCTGTGCACACAAACCTGCCAAGAGACAAGGGCAGGGGCTTCCCTGCCCCTAGCCAGGGGAGCACAGAGGTTTTCCTTCCCTCTCCTGTATCTTCCCATGGTCTGGTGACTGTGTATCACCTATGTGTTCTACAAGACCCCACAGGGGAGAAATCCTGCTGAGGTTCCCAGTTCCCTGAGCACAGAGTTTTAAATGTGCAGCCTGTGAAGTGGGAGACAGCCGCACATGGGCGGGGGCTTTGGAAAATCCATGCAGAAGGGAGGACTGAAGACAAGGAGGCTAGGTGGCCCAGGGAGCTTGGGAAGGTGCTGCCTAGTGGGGGAGGTGCTCTGCCCTGTAGTGGGGCTGATGGCATTGTTGAGGGTGCTGTCACAGGTAATCAGGAATCCTTTTCCTCCGAGGTACCTGATCAGCCTCAGAGGTAGGTCAGGGGCAGTTCTACAGGGTCAGGCTGGGGGGTCCCTCAAAGGACTCGCTGATCAGCCTTCACCTCCTACTGAAGAAGAGATGGAAGCCTGGAAAGGGCCTTGGGAGCTGGAGTCTGACTCCCGGGCTGATCAGGGTGTGTCCGCCAGACCACTCTGTGACTGTTGGTGGAGGTATGTGTGGTAGCGACAGCACAGGTGTCAACTGCGGGGTCTCTGGATCTTCTGTCCTCTGCCTGAGGGTCTGGCATAGGCCAGTGAGCCATCACCTGGCTCTGGGCTGGAAAGTTACCATGGTGGATGGGCATCTCACTCAGCTTGGGAGGAGCTTGACTCGACCCCTGTCTGAGCCCCACTTGACCACAGCTGCAGGGCCACCGAGGCCAAGGATGCCGAACCTTTCAGAGCTTTCAATAATACAAATGGCCTACTGCGGCACATGTGCCATAGGCTCGCCACCCCCGAGTGCTAGGTTTTTTGACCCAGATTCCTCATCTGTAAAATGGGCTCAATAACACCTAGCTGGAATGAAGGTTCCTAGTAATTCACATTTTTCCCCACAAAGGAACTGCCAGTGAAATGGTACCCACTGTCATTTCCCCGAAACCTTTACTGAAGTATAATTGACAGACAAAAACCTGCACATACTGAAGTTGTACAACTCAATGAGTTTTGACGTATGTGTGAACGCCAGGACTTGGTCTCATAATCACCTTGATGGAATAATCCATTGTGCCTCTCCCAACTTCCTCCTGTTTTATCCCTCCCTCCATTTCCTTTGTTTTCTTCCTTTCACCTCAGCAACCATTAATCTGTTTCCTTATTAATGTAGATTAGTGTGCATTTTTAGAACTTTATGTAAGTGGATTATATAGCATGCACTGTTCTCACTCCGCAGAATTATCGTTCACCCAAGTTGTTTCATGTTTCACTGGTTTTTCTTTTAGCACTAAGTGGTATCTCACGGTACGATGTATCACAATCTGTTTTTCCATCTGTTGGAAAATATTTGGGTTGTTTTGAATTTGCTATTGTTAAAATTTTTTTTTTTATTTTAACATTTATTGTGTGTGTGTGTGTGTGTGTGTGTGTGTGTGTGTGGCCAGCTCAGCCCACCAGAGGGCGCGGCTGGCTGGCCTGTGGTGCTGGAGGATTGAACCGCGGTCCCTGTACTTTGCCAAGCTTGTTCCAAGTAGGTGCTTTAGACCACTGAGCCATCTCTCCAGCCCCCTGAATTTGCTATTGTTATTAAAAAAAAAAAAAGCTATTCAGTGGAGCACGCTGGTACCTGTCAGTAACCCCAGCTTCTCCAGAGGGACAGAAGGAGGAAAAGTCTCCAGGTCTCAAAAAGAGTAAAAGTAAAAAGGCCTGAGAATGTAGGTCCGTGGTAGAACAAAAATTCAGCAAGCACTTGTGAAAAAAATATTTGTGGGGACATACACATGTATTTCTCTTGGGTACATAAACAGAAATAGAGAAAGGCGGGGTCCTGTGGCAGGTGATGTCACATTGTTTTCTAGAGTGACTTTCCCACTTTGCTTTGCTTACAGCTGTGTGTTGTAGCTTCAAAGGCTTCGCTTCCTGGCCAGTATTTGATGGGCTGAGCCCTTTGAATTTTAGCTGTTATGATAGGGGTGTGGGGCTATCGCACTGTGGGGTTATTTACATTTCTCTAGAGACTGAAAGTGTCAATCATCTTTTTCATCTGTTTATTTGCCTCCTACATATATCCAAAGTGTTGGTTCATATTTTTTGTTCATTAAAAAAATAAATGGATTGTCTTTTTATAGTGAGTTGTAAGAGTTGGTTGCGTATTCTGTAGGATGT